TATATTTAATGTCATTGAAATATTAAAAATAAAAATTTAATGTTAATTTTGAACTTGTATTTAACGTTAATTTTGTTGAAATAATAATAAAAGTGCAAGATAATCAATAACTTAAAATACATCAACCTCACAAGTAAGTGAAAGTCTTATATCACAAAGTTACAATAATTCAATCTCATAATTCCAAACGAAAGTAAACAACTTAAAATACATAAATCTTATTGGTCCAATCAAAGCTAGAAAATTAATCAAATTACATCAAACATAATTCTATAACATGCTTAACACATGTTGGTAACTTCATCAACCTCACTTTTGTAAGAAAATAAGATGAGAGAGTGTAGTTTTAAGATTATGTGGTACAAGGATAATTAGGATATTTAGGAAATATTATTAAACGGGTACCCGCGGGAATGAATATCATCATACCCACCCCCGCCCCATTTATAAACGGATAAAAAATTATCTGTTCCCATTATCCGCGGGTACCTAATTAGCCTATCCATTTATTATCTGTAGCGGATTTTACCCGCAGATACCGGCGGGTGCGGGTATTTTTGTCATCCCTAACGCTAATGTTTGGAAGACTAGTATAACTATGAATATGTGGGTGAATGCTATTTAAGAGGATATGATATTATGGAGAATTATTATTATTATTATTATTATTATTTATCTAGACATTATTTTTTATTATTTTTATTTTTGACTCTTTTTAAATTTGAATGTATGAAAAAAAATTTGAAATCTTATCATATGTCAAAAATCCACGAAAATTCTATAAAATTCCCAAAGTCCCGTAAAATCCATTAAAATCTTTATTTAAAAGTCTTGCAGAATACATTAAAATCCTGATTTAAAGTCTTGCAGAATCTTACGGAGTCTTAAAAGTCATGAAAATCCTGTAAAATCTTTTAAAATCCGCAAGATTTTTTTTAACTAAAAAATTCATTTAAAATCCTAATCCAATACACCCCCTTAAAGTTTCCAATGTATAGATCAAATATACAAAATTTTAAAAATATTAAAAATTATTTAATTAATACTTTATTTTATTAATTCAAATTGACAGATAATATATTTTTATTATTTTATTATACATATTCATGCATTACATATAGAATTATCTAAAAATACACATGATAAATTTAGACCTTTTTACGTCGGGAAAAATACTAACGTTAATGTGGGAGACGTAAATCTACATCAGCATTGTAAAACCGACATAAATTTACGTCGGACATTACCAGGTCCGAAGTGAAAAAGTAGTAAAAAAAAATAAAAAAAATAACGAGTGCAAGCAGAATGGCCCGTTCTGCAAGGAGAACGGACCGTTCTCCAAGCAGAACAGCCAGTTCTGCAAGGAGAACGGGTCGTTCTACTTGCAGAACGGCCTGTTCCAGATGCAGAAGAAACGCAGAAGATTGGAAATAATAATATTCAAAAAAAAATGAAGAAAAGAACAAGTAGTAGTGAAGATGAAAGTAGACAGGGAAAAGGAAATGAAAAATACATAAAAAAGGGAACTTGCAATTAAGTGTACATGGGAAAAGGAAACGTAACCGTTCTCACAAACATTAGCCCGAATGATAGGCTCGCCATCGTTGTGGAAGCCAAAGCCGCGCCGCAAGCAAAAGGCAGAGTGCAGCTCCAAAAGGCGTAGATCCAGCTTTCTCTTGTTGCCATCTGCAATGTTGGTGTGTATGAAGAAAGCTTAGCACTTCTCTTATTTTTTTTCTATGCTCTTATGAAGAAAACAATGTTAAAATATAGAAAGCTCATACAAGATAAGGTGCAGATCCAGTTTTTCGAAGGCTTCAGCGGAGAGCATGGATTCCCCTGCACTTCTCTTCCATAGCTTAGCACGTTTAAAGGTGCCTACACTTTAATATAGAAAGCTTTTTTACGTCGGATATAATAAAGTCCAACGTAAAATGTAAAATTTACGTCTGATATTAGATGTATCCGACGTAGATTTTACATTTTACGTCGGATCCTTTTAAGTCCGACGTAAAAAAGTTCAAAAAAATTACAAAAATGTCACCACGTCTTTTTTACGTCGATTTTTATTTTGACCGACGAGAAAAGAGTGATGTAAAAGACTATTTTTTTACTAGTGCATTCTTAGACCTAGTTAATCCTAAATTAACTCTATTACAATAAGTGCTCTTTGTTTTGTGTGCCCTTGCAAATTTGCAATCAAAAGAAGGGAAAACAAAGGTTAGAGCATGAAAAGAGTGATCATAAAAACAAACAAGCAGGCTGAATACAATAAATTCATGGAGAAAAGAAAAATAGATGAAAAAAAAATTCAAAGAGAGATCAAAAATTCATATCACATCATGTTCAATACCAGTGTCCCTTGTCAGCATTGATCTAACCCATTCTTTCTTTTAAAGATGAGTAGAATCAAGCAAAAATTGAAGGTGTTATATAAATCATTAGTCTCTATCCTTATCATAAAATAAAGATTTTATATTTTAGAGGATGAAAATAAAAACCATAAACCATAAACCTCCGACATCGTGTTGAAGACTTCTTGTACTGATTTCTTAACAAGAACACTATGTAAGAGACCAGAACCTTTATTTGAGCCCTTCTGTTTGTTCTGCTCGTTTTATTTTGGTAGAATTGAATATTGCAAATAAAATGATATTAATTAATACAAATACAATGATAACATACCAGAACCTTCGCGGAAAAGTCCAGAAGTTTTGCGAATGATCTGAAACCGGTAAAACCAACCAAACCGTAAAATTAAAGGTGTTTTCTGGAACATACAAGATTGTCCTTTTACATCATATAAATACAAGATTGTCCTTCATGAGGAGGTTCAGATTGCCAGAGAATGCCAAAGTGGACCAAGTGAAGGCTTGTATGGAAAATGGGGTTCTCACTGTTACCGTTCCCAAGGAAGAGGTTAAGAAGCCTCATATTAAGGCAATAGAAATCTCTGGTTGATCTATTTCTTGTCTGCAAAGTACAAAATTTGGTTTGTTGTAATAAGTTTTCCCTGTGTCTTTGAGAAAGATGTTACATTTTGTGTCATGTCATGTGTGAATAAAATTCTGCATTGAGAAAGAATTTTAAACTGTCTTATTGTATATGACACTTGGAATAGCTTGCAATATTTGGAGGAATAATGTATTAAAAAAAAAAAGAGGTGAAGACCTATTTAATTAAAAAAATAGTAAAAGAGAGCTCTGAACGTATTTAATCACCCAAGAGTAGGGGAAAGTGACTGACCCATCAGACACTAAATTGTCATCACAGCTCTCAGAAGTGCACCAGCCGGGAATCGAACCCGGGTCTGTACCGTGGCAGGGTACTATTCTACCACTAGACCACTGGTGCTCATGATACTTTATGCATTATTTACATATTAAAGACCCAATAACAGCAAAATTTAAGGCTTTATATATGCATTACATTGACTTATAGGCACTGGCACTGCAATCATTGGTGTACTGCATTGCATTGATTGAATAACATAAAAATAGTTGAACAAACAATAATTTTTTTTAATGTATTTATTTAGGAAAGAAAATAGACAAAATATATAGGATTAAAAATTATTCTTTAATGCATAAAAAATGAGTTTGAAAGTATATTTTCAAATACAAAATTTCATTCATATATTATAAAACATTCATCATTTATTATAAAATAAAAAGGATAATAATTTTATTTTTCAATTACTTATTTTCTCAATCAAATAAGAAAACTATTGTTATTTTCTCTTTATCTACGTATGTACAAAAAGATGGTTAATATATTTTTCTTTTTCCTTTTGCGAAATAGAATATATCTACTGCATAAAAATTAATTATCATAAATAATACAGTAACTAGTATCATATATGATAGCAATTATAATATTCCTGTATTAATATAATAATATAATTAGATATTAAATATTATACTATTGAAAAAAATATTAAGTTACAATTTTTTATTATTGTTCATATAAAATGAATGTTATTATTTTAATATTTTATTTACGATCAATTAATTAATATTATCATTTATATGATACAGTAATTAATATAAATTTAGAGTATATACTATAAATTACTTTTTACAAAATATGTAAATGTTTTTCATTTTCCTAAACTTATGCATTTAGTTTTTTTAATCTACAACTTAAAACCTTAATTTTTTAAACATATCAAATAGTATGTAAAAAACAATAAATAATACATAATAGGAATCTGAAAGATAAAAAAATAAAAAATTGTTTGATAAAAAATATAAGTTGACGTTATTTTTTTAATTAATTTTTTATATTTAAGTAATTTAATTCTTATATGATTTATTTTATGCTATTAATTATATCCGGAAAGTCGATGTTGTTCTAGTTTTTTACAGATTAGAAAAAAGGTCCCAATGAAAATAAAACTTTCCGTGTTAAGAAATTGGTACGTATAAAAATGGTGAGAGGTGAAGAGAATGACATGAAAGCAGAAATTTGGTGGAATTTGCATAAACATCTGTTTTACGTAAAACGAGGTCCACATGCAAACGGAAGGAAGGCGAAGAAGTCTCTTGACCTTCGGAAACGTTGTTTAATAGAATCAGAATCCAACAAAGGCATTCTAATTGTAATTGTAAAAGAATAAAAAATGTCTTTGATCCCAAGCATGGAGGATTCTCCGGCGGCGTTGATGGGAAGCCTAGGGCAGTTGGAGTGGAAGGAGACGGCGGAGGCGCACGTGCTAAAGGCGGAGGTGGGGGGGCTGAGGAGGGAGGAGGTGAAGGTGGAGGTGGAGGACGGAAGAGTTCTTCAGGTGAGTGGGGAGAGGAACATCCAAATTCAAGACCACAACGATGCCTCTCACACCCTTCACCGCACCACTTCCAAGTTCAAGAGATCTTTCACGCTTCCCGCCAATGCCAAACTTGATCACCTCAAAGCTTCCATTGAAAATGGCCTTCTCACTGTCACTGTTCCCAAGATCACTCATTCCATGCCCATTCATAATTCCTAATCACAACATCCTTCATGCTCTTTTTCATATGTATAAGCGGGTTGGATCCAGTTCGATTAGTTTTTGATCAACGTGATATTTGACCTAATCAAAATTTAACAAATTACATTAAGTCGGATTTATGTAATTTTTTAAAAAATCTAATCTAATTCAACTTAATCATAAATGAATTGGGTTCAATTTCGGGTTAATATAATTAAATTTATTTATTTTTTAATAAAAATTTAAATATTTCAAAATAGATGTAAATTATTTGATACATTACTACAAATATAATGTTATCAACCTATAAAACAAATAATGATACAAATTTAATTCTAAAATAAATTTATTAATTTATTACATTATTATCAACTAAAAAAATCAAGAGTGATAATGAGTATTGTCCTAAACAAATAATTATTTAAATATTATTATTATTATTATTATTATTATTATTATTATTATTATTATTATTATTATTATTATTATTATGATCGGGTTGGATTAGGTAACAGGCTAAAAAGACAAAATCTGTTACCTGATATGTATGGTGTCAGATTTTGGTTGTGTTGGATTGAGTCTGATCCAAACATCGAAAGAATCCGATCTAAACTTATTGAATTGGTTTGGGTTAGTTCGAGTTCGCGGGTTATCCATACTCACTTATACCTTTACTTTGTTGCATTCATAATCCCTTTTGTAAATTCACTTATATATATATATATATTTAAGATTAAAAACAAACATAAGAAAATGCCTTTTGTATATGGTAAAATACTCTTTCTACACTTTTCTTTTTTTTTAGATTATTGGATTATTGTATCAATTATATATTTTTTAAGAATTATTTCCCTGTTAATTATTTTAATACGGCTAATAGTTTCAAATTTATTAATCTCAGACAATATTTCTTGTCACAAATTCAATGTTTCCAAAGTAACAATTTAAGCGCTCTATAAACAAAAACAATACATACTTTTAATTTAAAATTGGTTTTAACTTATTTTTCTGTTAGATAGGTTTCAGAGAATAAAGATAGTTTTTCAAACAATAACAATACTACCCTGATTACAAGCCATTTCCAGCTATTTCATGGTTTATTGTGTCATCTATCATTACATTTACCATTGGCCATCTTAAATTCTTGTAGAATTCTTTTGTTGGGCCTTGGGCCCTTTTGATATGGACCCAAATCACGTTCATAAAAAATAAACACAATGATATTTAGAAGACTAGAACCTTCTCTTCTGAGTGACGAGAGAAATCGAGAATTTTTCCGAATCATTGAAAACCGGAAAAATCAACTAAATTTGTAACCAGAATTTTCGGGAATATACGGGATTATCCTTTCAATTCGTTTAAATACCATATGTGTCCACCTTGATCATCATCAAACTATAAAACTCACTTGTGATTGCAATCTGCAAAGTTTCAATTTTCAGCTAAGTGATAGAAAGATGTCTCTCATCCCAAGTTTCTTGGGTGGACGAAGGAGCAACGTTTTCGATCCCTTCTCCCTGGACGTGTGGGATCCCTTCAAGGATTTCAACTTCCCCACTTCTCTTTCTGCAGAGAATTCAGCATTTGTGAGCACTCGTGTGGATTGGAAGGAGACCCCGGAAGCACACGTGTTGAAGGCTGATGTACCAGGGCTGAAGAAGGAGGAAGTGAAGGTTGAGATTCAAGATGATAGGATCCTTCAGATCAGCGGAGAGAGGAATGTTGAGAAGGAAGATAAGAACGACACGTGGCATCGCGTGGAGCGTAGCAGTGGAAAGTTCATGAGGAGGTTCAGGTTGCCAGAGAATGCAAAAGTGGATAAAGTGATGGCTTCTATGGAAAATGGGGTTCTCACTGTTACTGTTCCAAAGGAAGAGGTTAAGAAGGCTGAGGTTAAGGCCATAGAAATCTCTGGTTGATCCATGTCTTGTCTGCGAGATTTGGTTTGTTGTAATAATTAGTGTTGTGTCTTTGAGAAAGATGTTACGTTGTGAATTGTAACTTCTAAGTGGTTACTTGCATTGTGTTCATGTCAATAAAATTCTGCATTTAAAAGATTTTGTACTATGTCATGTGTGGGAAATGTGAATTGTAATATGAGAATACTCATTAATTCATTATCACTCTTGGGATGGGTCTTTGCTTGAACCTTAACTTCTTGATTGCAGTGCAACTGTTGGGGAGAAACCAGAGGGGCATAGAGCGTGTTTTTATCAACATAAATTCACTTGGAGTAACTTGCATGTTTATAGTTAGTTCATTTATAAGACCTAAGAAAAAAGAAATCAATTTCATAGAGATCAAGATGAGGAAAAGTTAAATTTTACACAAACATTTAATTTTCATGATCTTATATAAAATTTATTTTATTTACTAAAATATTCTAAATTATATATTATAGATAATGTTCTAATTTATTATCTTAAAAACATTTTTGGATAAAAAATATTAAATAAAGTTAATTTAATTAAAATTTATTCATATTTGAATTTAAAAATTTTAAGCATTTTTTTCATATGTAAAATGCAAATGGAGTGTTATTCAGTACTAGTATGGGAAGAAGTAATAAAATAAATAAGTGATTATATTATTTTTAGATAGTTTTATATTATTCTTTGTACGAGAGTATAATTATTTTCAACATAATTGCTAGTCATCAATAAAAGTGAAAATCAAAGAAATAGTTAAAAAGAATATATTTCCTTTGTAGTAATTATAGATTATACATAAAAGGATCACATTTCCGCAAATGAATTTTTGAGGAATTAAATTAATAAATTTAACTTAATTTTTTAAAAATATTAAAATTTTAAGTTGTAAAATTTTAAAAAAATGGATAACATTTATTTCTTTGAAAAATGAATAATGTTAATGGAAGAGGGTTGACCCTAAACCTTTCATGGTTTGTTTCATATTATTGTTTATGTTTAATTTTTTAGACAACTTTGATTGTTTAGGGATGATAATTTAAATTATTGAGTTGTTTATATGAATCTTTTGAGTTTTTGATAATTTGGATCATAAGCGAAAAATATAATGAATGTTTATTTGGATATGTATTATTAATTTAATTTCTAATTTGTTGATGATGTGAAATTTTATTGTTTTGATGTGATTTGTTAATCATTATTGATTGATCAAGTTTTGTTATTAAATTAAGTATTTGATAATTTTATGGTACTTGAGAGAGTGTAGAACTGAATTAAGAGTTAATCAAATGTAATAGAGATTATTTGAACAGAAAACAAATGAATTAAAAAAAAAACTAAACCACACAACTACAATTGGATTTAATAAGGTATACAAGTGACTTAGATGAACACAAGAAATAACAAAACTATAAAAGTGCAAATCATGCAAATTAAACAGGAGACTTTTGTGCTAAGCATGAAAGCTCTAAAGAGTTAAAGATGTTCTCTATCATGATGTCGCTAAGCACTATGACTATAGTGAATTACTAGAGTCTTGACGTGTAGTGAGAGTGTTTTCTCACTAAGCACCATAAAAACAAAGAGGATTTCATAGTTTGACACTAAACGCAAGTGTGAGACACTAGTGTGAAAGTTCCAAAGAGTAACCTTGCCCTCTGTGCTCCTGGTGATAAGTGTAAAATTGTGGTTCTGAGCTAAGAAACTTTAGTAAGAAGCCTTTGTTTTATACTGATTGATATGACACTAAGCATGAGACTTGTGGTGCTAAGCACTAGTCCCCTATTTAGTAATTTTTTTTTTCTATTATGCCTTGAATGCTCTTATATATTGTTTTGATTTATGATTTCTTTTGAAGCCATGATTATGAGACTGTTATGATAATGTGAATGTCATAAACCATGATATACTACGAGAATGAGAATGAGGACCTAACTTATCTCCCTTTGAAAATTTATAAAATCATGGACTTTTGCTTGTGATCGTGCATTATGTTCATGACAAACTATGTTTTTAAGCAAGTACCAGGAGGACCTGATTGGTGAAGGTTGTAGATGGTAGTTAACACTAGACATTGGAGATTTGGTGGAAAAACTCTAGCAATCTATGGTTATCCTATGTGAGTCAACCAAAGCGTACCATTATAGATGGGTGATTTTGACTTGTCACTAAGGGAGATTATACAAGTTAACGGTGTAGTAAATGGTCCTTCCTAGGCTTGAGTGATATGTATTCACTTACTCCTAGTCTATTTTCCCAATATTTTGAACGGTATTACATGCATATAGATGTTCAGGATACATTGCATTATATCATATGTATATGTTTGATGAATGATCTCAACATGTCTAGAAGTTAGTTTTTTTGTGTGTGTGTTTTATCCATAATACTTACCATATCTTAAGTATGTTGTCAAATGTATCTCATTCCCTTGTTTGATTTTGTTTATGTTAACTGCTAATCATTTATAGATGAAACTCATATAGATAATTATAAATGTAACGTCTTTCAAAGTCAATGTTTCAAGGATTGTACTTTACAAAATTTTGCTCAACTTTTTATTTTTAGAACCTTTTACCGGTAGAACCCTTTACGTGTATCCATTTTTGGGACAACTTATGACTTTTAGAGCTAACAATCGTGTGGAACTAAAACAAACACATGAAGGAAGGTTGAATTGTTTTTATTAAAAACTTCAACATTTTTCATTAACGGTAATGAACACAAGACAAAAAGAGTCTAATACAACAAGAGATACATTTTATACTAGTTTGTCTCTACAGTTGAGACTATGCTTAATCTTAATTAACGTGATCAAATTTTATTATCTTTAACAAAGATACAAAAATATTTTTTTACAAGTCAATTCTAATTCAACTTAAAATATTTTTTTATTTGTCTTTTCAAACAAATTATCCAATTAGTTTTTAAACACTAAGTCTCCAAACTTCAAAGACAAGTATTGTTTATAAATAAAACTTTTTCAGGTTTCCAACTTAAACAATTATTTTTAAAATTTTGAGGAAACTAATAAGATTTATGATCTTCTAAAACGTGATAAAAACAAATTAAGTATAGAAAAAAAAAATATATAAGTGAGATGGGAGATTTTCAAAACAAAGTATAATTCCTTTATAAACATCCTTTCATCTTTCTACCTAAAATCTTGTAATTATATTTCAAAGAGCATCTATTTATTATTATTAAAATACAATCTTTGTAAAATCCAATTGTGATAAATGAAATGTTTTATTCGGAGAATTGACGCATGCATAATGTTAATAAGTATGATTATAAATGCATATTTAAAAAAATAATCAATAATTTATGGTTAATAAGATAGCATAATATTGAATAGGAAATGTTGAGTTTGGATGGAAAAAATTTTTAGTAAAAACTTTACTCACTTTATAGTAATTAAGATTAAGATGCTAAGATAAGATTATAATAAATAGAATAGACAACAATACTACCTAACAAGCGATTGCTAGTGGGTTTCAACATTTATTGTCGGCTATCATTATATTTTTTGGTAGATTAAGAAAATAACAAAGCAAAATAACAAAACTAAAGCCAACGAGTCACCTTAAAAAACATCTAAAACAATAGAAGGAGGGATTGTCAAATTGTGACTTCCAAAAGCTACCAAGCAGTGTACCACTGCATTTGCCCATCATGGTGAATATGTGAGGTACGCCCTTCAGGATTTAGATAATTGGCTATCTAAAAATAAGACTATTGTAACCAAGTTTTTATTTGATTTTTATTTAGTGATTATAAGATTCGTCTAAGAGATACATGTTTAACTTGATATTCTGAAATTTGATTTTCAAGATTTATTAAAATAATATTTAATCAATAAAGGTCACATTTGATAAATATAAATTAATTCTTAATTAATAATTTTAAATTATTGGATAAAAAATGCATAAAATAATAAATAATAAAAAAATTAATATTAGTATAATTCATTTTTTGGGCCTTGGGCCCTTTTGCTAAAAAAAAGGGCATAGACAAAAATAATATTCATAAAATGATATCCAGTAGTTCAAGGAAAAACAAAGACAAAGATATTTAGAAGAGTATAACCTTGTGGATGATGAGAGAAGTGGAGAAGTTTTCCGAACCATCCGAAACTGGTAGAATCATCCAAAATGTAGCCAGAATTTTCAGGAATATACAAGATTATCCTTTCATGTTGTTTAAATACCACACGAGTCCCCTTAGACGATCATCAAAGAGGAGTTAAGCATCTACGGTCTCAATAGTTACTACAATCTGCAAAGTCTAAGTAATAGAAAGATGTCTCTCATCCCAAGCTTTTTCAGTGGGCGAAGGAGCAACGTGTTTGATCCTTTCTCCCTTGACGTGTGGGATCCCTTCAAGGATTTTCCCTTTCCCACTTCTCTTTCTGCAGAGAATTCAGCATTTGTGAGCACTCGTGTGGATTGGAAAGAAACCCCAGAGGCGCACGTGTTGAAGGCTGATATACCCGGTTTGAACAAGGAACAAGTGAAGGTAGAGATTGAAGATGATAGGGTCCTTCAGATCAGCGGAGAGAGGAACGTGGAGAAGGAAGATAAGGACGACACGTGGCATCGTGTGGAGCGTAGCAGTGGCAAGTTCATGAGGAGGTTCAGATTGCCGGAGAATGCCAAAGTGGACCAAGTGAAGGCTTCTATGGAGAATGGGGTTCTCACTGTTACCGTTCCCAAGGAAGAGGTTAAGCAGCCTCCTGTTAAGGCAATAGAAATCTCTGGTTAAGCTATGTTACTGTGTTCCTTAGTCGTGTGTTTTGTTTTACTAAGGATTTTGTGTGATTGGTGCAATAATACCATGCATTGTAATTACAAATAAAGTTTATGTTACATGTTGTTATGGTAGAATCGCACTTATACTCTTTGTTTTGTAAAGTGAGTGAATAAGAACTGCAGTGTGTTTCTGTAATAGATTTAATACCAGTTGTTGTTGAGACACTTTTTTGAATTTATTTTAAGGAAATGAAAATAAGAAATTCCTTGTAATAGGAACGGTGTTCTTGTTGTTGCTGGATTCACTTTAAGCCTGCCTAATTTGTTGTTTGCCTTGTAAAGTTTTGTTCTCTGCTTTTCTCAAGTACCTCGTGTCGTGAGGATTGAGGAACCTTGAATGTCAAATACTTCTTTAATTTTTAAAATATAATCTTTTTAAGTTGCTTAATTATGGAATATATTTGTAAAATAATTTAAATTTTACAAATAACTTCGTAAAATAATTAGAAATATGTTTCTTATATTCTGATCTTTTCTCAAAATTTTAATTTTTTTTTTGTTCCTTTCTGATCTTTTCTCAAAATTTAAATTTTTTTTTTGTTCGTTCCTGGAGTATCCACCGCCGATAGCAGTGATTAATCTCCTCGCTATAACGCGGCTACATATACACGGCAGGATTCAAACCCCTGACCTTGCTTAAGCGTGGATCAACCCCTACCGCTGAACCACACGTTATTATTTGTTTTGGTAAAAGTTTTTTTTTTCATGAAAAAGGTTTAAATGAATAAGTTTTTAATTTTGTGATATTGATAACTTTTGGAATGTAGATTTTTTTACTCTGTTTTATTGTTTTTATTATTGTTAATGAAATTAAAATATAATATGTTTTGTCACACAAATTGCAGTTTAGTGTATTCTTTCTCTTATGAATTTTCTTCTCATTGAAGGTGTACCTGTCTGGGGTACACGTAGTCTTCTGGGTGGTGAAGGGCCGAATGAGTACTCCAATTGAATATTCCGGTGAAGGGGTTGGTACTTGCAAAAGACACTCCAACGCTCAAGTTAGGACAAGCTCGAATATCTAGGATAATTAATGAACAGTAACGTTACCTTTTTACTTGAGCTATTTATACTGTCATTCATGGGCCCTGACTCCTTTGGGCCCTATGACAGGATTACCACATTAGGTAATACGCCTCTAATAGGCTTATTAATGTGATTAACTCTTAATTTTTTATTAAGGATGTGATTAACTCTTAACTCTTGATTAATAATACTTCATATTCCACAGGTATCCAATGGCCGATCAGCCGTCGGTCACCTGGTTCGGCCATTCAGGTGCCGATCAGGTATCGACCATATGGTGACCGAAAGGCCTTGCCAGTACAGAAGCTTATGCTTATTTTGTCATAAAATTTTCTTCTCTTAAATTTTGGATAAAATTGACAATTTTATTCACAAAACCTTTCAAACTCACTAAGTTGTAGGTTCCTTAATGACTTTGACTTTATCGAGTTTTTTTTTTTTAATACATGTTTGACTTATTGTGTTGGAACTTCGGAAAGTTAGTTCAGTTTTTGAGTATAATTAATATTTCCATTAGTCAGGTTTTTGTTTTCATTAGTTTTTTGTATATCAAGATGAGAACATTTAAATCATCAAGTAGATGATTATAAACAATTCGTAGATTAAAGAGTTCAGATTCTTCATTGTCCGTGTCCGAGACAGTTTACCAGTTTAGTGTGTGATTAGATTTCAGTTTATAAAATGAAATTTAGTTCGAATTTAATTTTGTAAATTAAGTATTGTTAAAAAATAAAATGAGTTTAATAGAATATATTATGGGTGTAAAAAAAATTATAAAGTCAACTAATTAGAAATTATGATTTTTAATATAATTATTATAAGATTAACAAATTTATTATCTATTTAGATTGTAATTAGATGAAATTATAAAATTATTTTCTCTGTCACTACATTATATATCATTAAATCCAAATAAAATTAGTACTGTAACTTGATTTATATTTTCCCAACAAGTCCTAGGTTGGCCTCGAGCTTGTTTTGTACTCGTCCACTCCAAGTTCCAAAATCCCACTATGCTCTTACTCCACCATTGCATGAAGGCAAAGAAATTTGTCTAAGTTGTTGTTCGTCAATCTGTATATGGCCATGAATGAAGCTATTAGCATAGTTCGCAAAAATTTGTTGGTCCTTTCTTGCTTCTTCAATTCTGAATACAATAAGAAATATTTGAGACTCTAGTCTCTAAAGGAGATTTGACATGGTAACCACCTTTCAAACAATAAAAATTTCTCCAAAAAATAGTAGCAGATAACTACAAATTTTCCTTCGTTTAATTGTCAAGATGTATGTTTGTGTCACTAACTCACCATGGGTTTAGTATTAAAGGAACAAATGATAAAAATTAGTAGATAAAATAATAAAATTAATGTCAATGTATTCTCTCGTTAATCTCTTATAACTTTTTACATTTAATTAAATAAATATATCTTACGAAGATAACACCTTTATTTAGGAATTTTTTTATTAAATATGTTTTAAAAACTATCTTATGGGGCAACTGTCCTATGATGTTTAATCTCACAGAAGAAGGAGACCTTTATTATCCCCACTAATTTTTTCTTTCTTTTTCCTTTTTTTCTTTCTTTCTCGAGTTGTGATATATATACCTTTTTTTTTTAATTAAGTAAACCTCTTTTTTTTTATATAAAAATAATTTTCTAAAATATTTTTGATTTTTTTATTCTTTATTTTTAAATTTTACACATCTAATGTTAAATTTAACATTTTTTTTTTTTTTTACACATTTCCTTCCCTTCTCCTTTCAACATTTACACGTATCCCTTTTGTCATTCCCTTATTTTTCACCTAATTTAGTAGATTACTTTAATTTTTTTATTTTCACATTATTCTCTTTTTCTTTTTCTTTTAATTTTCACACTATTAACCTCTCTCTCATCTTTCAATTTTCATACACACCTAAGACATAGAACTAGTGTACAACGATATTGTAGGTGCATGTGGTTCTCTCAACAATGTCAAAGGTGCTAGATACACATTTTTCTTCAACCACTTTTTTTTTTTCCTTTCTCACTTCTAAAAAACACAACATTAAATTCAATGTTTTAAAAAGATACTTTTCAGAACATTAATTTTAATGCTCTGAAAATACTTTTTGGGATAATAAAATTAGTGTTTCAATTTTTTTTTTGAAATTATGTTTTTTACATTCTTTTATGAAATACTTTTCGGAACAACAAATTTAATATTTTAAAAAATACTTTTCAAAATAGTAAAATCAGTGTCGCAGATAATATTTTCCTAAAATGTGTTGTTTAACATAATTTCGAGGAAAAAATGGAACAATAATTTTAATGTTCTAAAAGTACTTTTTGAAAGTATGACAAAAAAAAACAATTTAAAAAAAATATACTTTTTAAAATATTAATTTCACTATTTATGAAAATACTTACTAGAATACTAAAATTAATGTTTTGAAAAATATTTTCTAGATTGAGATTTTTGAAAATATGAAAAGGAAGAAAATGTTGGAAGAAAAAATATGTGTATGTGTCAACACATTTAACATTTGAAGGAAGTCGTATGTTAAATGTGAAAACTAAAAGAAGAAAAAGAAAAAAATAATTTAAAAATTAAAAAATTAAAACTATATATTAAAATAAGTAGAGATTGGAGAGCGAAGGAAATGCAAAAAGTGTATGTGAAAATTGAAAAAAAAAATAAAGATGGAGAAAAGAAGCACAAAGTCTTAAAAGTGAATGTTGATGGTGTAAAATTTAAAAAAAAAATAGAGAATACAAAAATAAAAATATTTTAAGATTTTTTTTATAAAAGAAAATGCACTTTTATATATCATAATTTATTTATTTATAGTTTTTAGCCCAACTCAAATTATTTGGGCTTCAAACCCAAGCCATATTTTTTATGGATCCATAGAATCACATCTGACTTTGACCATAAAAAAAGTAAAAATTAAATGGAATAAAATCTTACCGTGCAGAATCTTCTGGGGGTGGTGTGAAATATCTAGAACAAGTTAGAACATTCTGGGTTTGGCAAAGGAATCAGTGTAAGTAGGATTTTCTGGAGTATACCAGATAACCCTTTCACTTCTTATAAATACCTCATCTATCCCTTCGCTACAACATCAATCAACAAAACACTTCTCTCTCTGTCAAGTATTAGTAAACACTAAACAGCAACCAATCTCATCAATTAAGACTATCAGAGAAAATGTCTCTCATCCCAAGTTTTTTCAGTGGGCGAAGGAGCAACGTCTTTCATCCTTTCTCCCTTGACGTGTGGGATCCCTTCAAGGATTTCAACTTCCCCACTTCTCTTTCTGCAGTTGTGAACACACGTGTGGATTGGAAGGAGACCCCAGAAGCACACGTGTTGAAGGCTGATGTACCAGGGCTGAAGAAGGAGGAAGTGAAGGTTGAGATTCAAGATGATAGGATCCTTCAGATCAGCGGAGAGAGGAATGTTGAGAAGGAAGATAAGAACGATACGTGGCATCGCGTGGAGCGTAGCAGTGGCAAATTCATGAGGAGCTTCAGGTTGCCAGAGAATGCAAAAGTGGATAAAGTAAAGGCTTCTATGGAAAATGGGGTTCTCACTGTTACTCTTCCCAAAGAAGAGGTTAAGAAGCCCCATGCTAAGGCCATAGAAATCTCCGGTTAATTTATGTTACTCACTCTTTTCTTTAGTTAAAAACTGTGTTTCCTTTTGCTGAGGATCTTATGATCTTGTGTGTCTTTTTTCTTTTTGTGCAATAAAATTGCAATCTATGCATTGTAATTACAAATACAGTTAATAGTTGGTGTTTTTGTTGAGAAACTCTTGTTAATAAATATAGCTTGTATTGTAATAGAATCTCAAAATATTGTTGTTATCTGTACATGCACTGGCTGCACAAGTCTTGTTAATGTGCAAACTTAAAATAAGACTTTGCTAAGAGGCCAAAATCACTTTTTCCTGCTAAAATTTCATCTTGCAATAAGACTGTAGCCAATTAATTTAGTTACCAGCTACAAAACTCAAAATCCTTCAAGTCTTGAACTGCCTAGCACTGACCCACCCAAGAACGATGAAAATGAAGAATTCCATTGCAAATACAGCAATTGTGAACAACCTTGTCATTTGGATGGACTTTTTAAAATGGAAGAAGGATAATAAATTCTAAAATGTACTTCCCAAAGGATCACAGGAGGGGAGAAGAATAATCAGAGAGAAAAGACAAACACTTTCCAGTTTCGAGTTTCAACCAACGCAATTACAATTTCTTCATCACCTCTTGCAACCTGTGCTTCTATTGCAACAGAATTTTCTATGTCATTCTGGTGTGGCTAATTGCAGCTGAGTCATCAACATCCATCTTCACACCTGACTCATTTAACATTTTCTACTGTGACACAATTAAAGTGCTATTTTGGGATGATCCACATTTTGTTCAGATTGATGCGTTACAACTTGCGAGCAATGTCAAATGATTGGCACCTTAAACATTATCCATTAATTATTTTATCTCAAAAATTAAATTTATATAAGAAAATAAATAAATGAAGTTGAAATTTGTGGATTATTAAATATAAAATATTTTTGCATGTTAAAACAGTTGGATCAAGGATATTTCAAAACTTTAATACATAATACCCAATCTGATTACTTGAGGTTCATATATTTCAAATTGATATAACCTGTTAATTGATCTAGCTTTTTTATTTTTTATTTTTTACTTTTTGACTCATATTGATTAGGTCAATCCAACCTATGATCACTTCCTAGTTTTTACATGAGTAAGTTTACTACATGTTCTATAAGTCATCAATTGTTTTATGAAAATAATTAATTTTAAAAATAAATTTATTCAAATTAATACTAATAATTCAATTGTTTAAGTTTTTAGAATAAAGAGATTTTACAATTACATGAAGAGGTGATTTTTTATTAAAAACATTGTACAGTTGGAGCTATTTTTACTTTGTTATAATTAAAAAGAAAATTTAATGCTATAAAAGCCAATTATATTTTTAGAATATACTCAAGGTAAGTAAGTAACTACCTAAATAATTAGAAATCTGGTTGCTCCTTAATTTCAATCGAAAGACTTGTTTCATTATATCTAAAAGTCACATTATCGAATAATCAAAATTATATGTAATTTATAAAACATCTTTTCAAATATAAAACTGTATTATTCCATCAAACAACAAAAAAAAATTATACCTCAACTTAATACCAATGAACTTATAGATAAAGCACTAACATTAACCAGTTCAAGTTTTTGCACTGATGACATGATAATAATTATAATAAGAAGAAGAAAAACGACCTTTATATTAACTCACCGTGCAAACATCATTGTCTAATATCCAATGGCAAAATGCCTAAAAAATTAGTGATAGGATTGTCTATAAGTATACTATTTTTTTACAACTTTTATCCTTTATAAAAAATTATATGATAATAATTAATAAAAATTAGAAAAAATATCATAGAAACTATCTCCACTAATATATGTGTTCAAAGAATAATATCACTAAAGTATATAGTGCCTTCATTTTCACCGGTTATATATAAAGTCAATTTAGAACTGAAGTAACTTTTTCATGTCAATATTTCTCATGCTATATATGTTGTTCTTAAATCTCATAGTCACTTATAATATTTTAGTAGAAATTAGTAGACGTTATTCTATAGTTTTTCTTATTTTCATAATTTAAATTTATGGTTGAGAAAAAACACGAGAATATCTTTCATATATTCAAATTAATACCCATTTGACAGTACTGAAAGACGCCTCTCTTTATACTTTTTTTGATTTTTTTTATAAGTAGATTATTCTATCAATTTTGTTATTTTTAAAGAATGATTGCTATGTTAATTTATGTAGTAAAATTATTGCTATGTTATTTTTTTTTATACTGATGACAGTTTGAAATTTATTAACTTGTGTTTTCGTTTCAAAATCTAAATTAGGTACAAAAAGGGATTGAATATAAGACATCACAAAATAATTACAAATATTTTTTTGAACTACTAGACTTAAATGTCAAAATTGTTTCGACAGAAAGTGAAATACTATAACCCAATTTCGTCTGGAAAATGTCAATTTTTGTTTAAAAAAATAGAAAAAAAGTATATTAAAAAAAGAATAAAAAAGACAAAAATATAGAAGCCAAATGTAACACCTCATTTTTTATATTTTTATGGAGGGTAATTTAGTAATTTTATATGATTTTAGTAGTCCGGAATGGACTGTTCCAAAATTAGAACGGGCCGTTCCAACCTTCCAAAAACAACTATAATTTCTAGTTCAGAACAGGCCGTTCCAAAACTGGAACGGGCCGTTCCAACCTTCCAAAAAGACCTAAAATTTTTAGCTCGGAACGGGCTGTTCCAACCTTCCAAAAAGACTTATAAATTCTAGCCCAGAACGGGCTGTTCCCAAAAATTGGAACGGCCCGTTCCCAAACTGTAACTGTAACGGGCCGTTCCAACCTATTAAAAAGAACTATAATTTCTAGCCCGAAACGGGCCGTTTCCGAACTCCAAAAACACCTCTAAATTCTAGCCCAAAACGGACAGTCCGAAATTGGAACAGCCCGTTCCGAAGTTGGCCGTTGTGAGTAAAATTGTAACCTCGGAACGGGCTGTTCCGGATTCAGAACTGGTCGTTCCGGTCCCTCCTGAAAGTCTATAAATAGCGGCCCTTGCCTTCCCAAAGACCTACACACACCCACACACACGCATCTCCACCTTGGACCAGAGGGAACCCGGAGGAAGAGACCAGCGAGTTACCACTTCTTGGGCGAAGAATAGTGAGTACATCGAACTCACTTCTTTTTATTATTATTATTTTTTACATTAATAATATATGTCATTAGTCTTTATTTAAATCCAAAATGTGATTAAATATCAAAATATAATGTTACAATATTTAATGTAAATATCTGAAATTATTGTATTAAAAATTTTATTGGAGGAATAGTTAACTAGATGTGACATCTTTTTAACCTTTGAATTTAAAGTACAAGTTGTGACAGCTTATCTTTAAATTTTTTCTCCAAAAACGAAAATGTCCAATTAATAAATTTTTTAATATCATAACATCTCTAGTAATAATTATAATTAAAATTTTATTGAATTGACTTTGGTGTACACCTTAGTCAATTTTATATTTTTAGGGTGAATGAGCTGAGACAGTTCAAGAATCCTATATTTAACAAAAAATAAAATTTAATTAAAAAATATCAACACATAAATATTTTCTACCAAAGAATTACGTGACTCTGATTCTTCATTCCACATGAAGATACGTAGGAGCAAGAACTAAATCTTGTCGAGCCAAAAAATAAAAAACATTATTTTCCTTTTTATATGACAATAATAATTTTAACCTTTTTTATGCATTAGTTAAATTAGTTTAATAAAATATATTTAATCATTTTAGTGAGATAAATATTTTATAAATTATAAATAATTAGTTTAATTAATTAAAGGTAATCATCTTAGAATAACGTTGTGAGGTGCTAATACCTTCCTCACACGTAATTAACTCCTGAACTAAAAAATTTGATTTTCGTAAACTATTTTCTATTTTATAATTTTTTCAATGTTTTTCCATAAAAAATAACATTAGTGACGACTCCTCTTTTTCAATTTATTTTTTTTAATTTATTTTTTGTCGTCCCGTCACGATCTCGATTGCGACAAATACTATAAACAATAGAGCAACCATGAAACATCCATTACCATATCTACATAGAAATTTATATCAGAAAAATATATAATGTGAATTCAACACGCGAATCATAAATTAATTTGCAACTTGTACTAATGCTGACATCTATTCAACTGAAGTAAATTTCTAATGACCCCAATAACTTTGCCCAAGTCAGTTTTGTCTTTTGGTCAACTGTTAAAACATCTTTACTTTATGGAGACAATTTATTAAGTTTTATTGGTCAATAAGACAAAGTAATATTACAACGACCACAACTTTTCAAACTGCTTTTTTTTAGCTAATGGTTCAAAAACTAATAATATCAACAAATGCCCCTGCATTCATGGTTGTTTTTTTACATGAATATTCCAAAATATTAACTTCTCCAAAATATTTTTTTTAACTGATATATTAAATTCTGATTCAAAAGTTTATATATAAAATTGGTGTAAAAAATATATATTAAAGTACCTATAAAAAAGATATTTTAACAAACCCCTATTCCCCGGCATGCCAAGAAAAAGTAAAGAGAAAAGAAAAAAACAAAAATCTATTGTAGTGAAGTTTATGTTTCTTCTTATTTTCTATTCTTAAAAGTGTTTATAGAAAAGTTTAATCTGACGTATCCATAAGTTAAGAATTCATACATTAGAAGTTCTAAACGGATCAAGGTATTGGATGAGTCAGAGACTCAGCTGCGATCATAATCATAATGGATTTTATTGTCCTTCCAATTTTGTAGGCCTCAGTGTAGTATCTACAAACAGTTCAACATTTACATGAAAAACGAATACGAATCTGGTGCGCCCCTTTTCTAGTGTTCCTCCTACCTGGTTAGGATAGCATGAATAATTTGGCTTCTTGTACTAAAAAGAGAAAATGACACAATTAAGTTATTGCTGATGAATTCATACTTAAAACTTAAAAGTATGTAAGTTCTCCAAGGCCACATAACACGACACTTCCGCAAATTCATATTTCCTTGCCATTTAATACATGTATAGGGAAATAATTATTCTAAAAAAAGTTATTTTATGATGTAATTTTTTTTTTTTAAGTGAACGGATCCGAATACGCCTTTATGGTGCATAGAAAAGTCACTTTTAAAATAAAGTGATTTTTTTTTTTTTCACTATGTAAAGGAGAAATTTCCGATTACTTCATCAGATTCCATTTGAGACCTGAGAGAAAGCACAAGGGTCCTTCTATTCTCATGACTGAAGGGAATCATAATATGCCAATATAACAAAATAAGTATTTCCATAAACTTGAAAAAAAAAAGAAAAAAAACTTTTTTTCTTCAGAATAACACATCTCTAGTGAAGATGCTTACAAGGGTGGGATAAATGGATAGCTATAATCAGATTCAGCACTATGTCAAAGGTGCCGCTGTGACAATAATATACCAATTAGGCTAACATGGATTGTCAAATAACCACTGAATCCCACTAGTCATTCAAGATCCTTATCATGCTGATTATTCTTCTGTAAGCATCTTAGGGGTTCCCTTAGTCTCCTAACAAAGTCGAAAGAAACAAGTCCTGCACAAAACCGGATCTTCCAGCAGCTTGTCTCATCCTTTTCTCCCGCTCTTCAGTACTCAAGGAGGGATCAAAACTGCAGAAAGAGACACAACAAAGCTGTGATTCACATATCATTCTTCAATAATGATGAAGCAAGTATACTAAGATTGAATAATGGGTCCAGTTTATACACACAACTATAGTGAACTATTATTATTCGTTCATATATGAATAGAGAAAAGAGATAATCATTAAGGTCACAAATCCTGCTTCGGCCCACCCCTGACATTACCATTCAAATCATTTGGTGATGTAAAAATTACTTGAGGGCCAATATTATTCTATTTTTATACCAAGTTATTGATGTAAAGTATCCATTGTATTTGTCGATAGTTAATCTCCGTGGAAAAATTTGACTGGTCACCTTTAGTGTAATCTCTTCTCCAAATAACTTTTTTTCCATCCACAAGACTCGAAACCAATATCTATAGTGAGGGTCAATATTTGAGACATGTTTTGAGTTTGAGTTTTTTGGCATCATAAATAAATAATTTGCAGGATTGAAATCATATATATAAAGAGGATAATGACTCAACATAAGTGTTTGAACAGATATAAGAATTCTAATTAGAGTTTCATGATGACTTGACTACTTAAGAGATTAAACATTTTAAAGGAATTTGAAAATCTTTTTTATTGAATACTGACTAGGGAGCCGAAATTCATGAAAAAGCACCTTGATTTCCAAATATGTTGAGGTGTTGCATTTTTGGCAGAAGGATCCTCAGCACTTGTTACCACAGATTTTGAAATTTCTTCTGCTTCACAAGCAGGGAAATTCAAAATAAATGAGGATAGGAATGGATCAGTAGCAGCATTAGACACAGTTGCATTGTTTGACCGGTATCCACCACCACCACTACCACCAAGAAGCACCTGTAGATGAGCCTCACGAAGATCTCGACCCAAAAGAGACAATGTCTGACTGTTTGGAATAGCAACTCTTCTTAACCTGCGCCTTCTCTGTATGTAATCCTCGGTTAAGGGAAGCAATTAAAGATTTTCAATTTTCACTTGAGAAAAACCTATTATCTAAGCAAGCTAACAATATTCAATCAAAATAACAATAGTACAAAGGATATCTTAAATAAGTGCCCATGTTGCTGCGTTATGTGACTTAACATGTCCCGGGCAACTTTAACGGAGCATATAGGACAAATCTGCATACCAGAGAAACAAAGCATGAGACTACTATAATCAGATTTAGAGTTAATTAAGAGTATGTTTAAATACAAAAGAGCTTTAGAAAGTTTTTCTACTGAAAAATACTCTTTATTTTCAATATAGAAGTTCTCAAAAGCGTTTCTAACTTGTATCCAAACCGATTCTAAATCATTGAAGTGGGAATTATATAAAGTAACAAACACAAAAAAGACACTTGCTAATCATTAATCTTCAGCCTTTTTTATTTTCCTTTATATTGTTTATTGGTACATATTCTCCAAACTCAGTAATTCAGCTTCTGTGATTTTTCTTTATATTCAAACAGATTCTTCAAACTCGGGCCTCAGAGCACAGACACATATGCAAGCAGACAAACGCTCGCTCATGCAAACATATACACAAAATGAACTGAATCCTAATAGAGCAGCATGTCCATATTATGAATCACTAGATTGTTGGTAACAGGTAACATTTACAACTTAAGAGTTCAGAAGATCATCAATCACCAGGTTACTTTTTTTATGAACTGATATATAACCACTTCCCATCTCAAAAGGTGGTTGTTAAGAACATATCTCTTGAACGATCTTGGATATATTATGTATGATTTAAGCACAGGCATATAATACATAAGGGGCAACTAAAAAGAACTGGGTAAAGAAGAACAATCCTCATTGGAGCTATAAGCTTGAAGAATATATTGGCAGAAAGAAAAAGGTTAGTATAGGGCCTTCTTGATTTTATGCCCTTGAATCCTTTTCTTTCTATGAATTTCCTTTGAATTCTTGATTGTCTAGTCATTATATAATAGATGACAAACTTACAACCAAACCACACAAGTCCCCGACATGCGAATTCCTCCTCCACAAAGTTTAAATTAATCAGTTATATAGAGCCAATTCCCCTCATACCTTCTTGATTTATCATAACTCAAATTGCAAATATTCTAGCAAAAAGTACGAACATAGGCCAGAAAACTACGACCATCATGACTTATGTTCAGGTCAATCAAAAGGTAAAGACCATGTCAGAACCTATAGCAGATTACTAGTCTGAGATCCTAAAAATCAATAACTTAATAAATTTATCCTTACAATTTACATGGTCTTGGAATCCTTCTGAAATGGAAAAATAAATAAAATTCAAATCTCTATAGGCTTCCTCTATACAAACTACGCTAACATGCCTCCAAGAAAATACCAATCTCCCGACAACTTTACAATCAAGGCTACCAATTTCTCTAAGACAAAAGAAACGAAGATCTAACATCATAGAAGAGCATAACACAGATTTAAATTGCAACATGGGAAGGAAAAACAGGCTCCTACCGTGACTCTTGATTCACAAGAATGTTCCTCTTCAAGATGAGAACACAAGGAGGCGATGTCAAAGTCTTCATAACAGTACGGGCAAGGGAAATCGGGTCGCACCTCTTCTTCCACATCAAAATCATCGATTCCCAACCGATCTGACACACCCCAGATATTGAAAATTGAAAAAAATCAGATTTTGATGGAAGGAAGAAAATCATTTTCAGCAAATAAAAAAGGAATTGCCATAGCAAAATCAATCAGCAGCGACCTAAGTGAGAATTTGGATGGTGATGCTGAAGCGTGTATTGGCGTTTAGCGGCAGCAAGACGCGAGGTCCAGAAGTCAGAATCCATTGAAAGATCGAAGAGATGAATTGATAAACGGGTTATGTAATGAAATGAAATCAACTCCACCACCTTCAACGAATTCAACGAACACTGTTTTTCTTGCAATGAATGAAAACAGTCTGAGATGCAACAAACGTGATCTCGGGTCCTAAGACTAGAGAAAAAACAAATAAAATAAAATAAAAGAAAAAGGTTTAATAGTTTCGAAATGATTTGACTTTTTCCACGAGTTTCAGAATTGCCGACTCAAACGGAGCCAGTTTTGTTTTGTGGTTAGCATCAAAGTTGAGTTTAAACAAATGATGGGAAATGTCAGACTTTGTCTTAAGATATACACACTTCGTTTGTTCGGTCACGTTTCCTTTGCTTAATATTCATTCATTATTATGTGGTTACAACAATTTTGCCGCCTCCTTTTCTTTTCTTTTCTTTTCTTTTTTTATTTCACTCAATTTTTCCCATTCCAACCTTTTCAATTTAGCTTTTTTTATTATGAAATATAAAAATATCTAAAAAATATAAATTAAAGAATTTACGTTATTTTTTAAATTATACTAAAATTTAGTTAATAACAAATATTATATTTAAAAGTAAATTATTAACATTTTTATTAATTTAAATCTTGTTTGAAAACTTGTTCCAAAACTTACGTCTTAATGACGATTAGTCTTCTACTGAACCACTGGTTACTGAAGTCGTGAGTCGTATAGGATAAAACCTATAGAGTTTAATTGTCATAAGTTAGTATTTTAAAATTAATTAATTAAGTATGGCAACAAGAAAAGCGAAATGCTATTCCAGATATATAACATAATAACATACTAATATAACGAAACAAATTGCAGGATTATTCTCGGTTTGTTTCTCCGTCCTTATCAATATCTATATAAGCCATTCTCTCGTTTGGTAAGTAGATTAGATTAAATTTAATTAATTTAGTTTATATTACTTTATTTTATTTTAAGTATTTCAAAATATTAGATTATTATAGCTCGAAATGTTAAAAATCATATTTTATTATATAATCGATTTGTTATGTTTGTTTAAAAGAAAATTATAATTAAAAGAAATTTTGACAATAATTTATTTTTAAAGTAAATTGTATTTCTCTTTCCCTAAGTGATAAAAATATTGCACTGTCAGTTATGTTAAAAATTAGAATCTATTCTCTCCATAGATTCCAACATATAACATCTTATCTATTTTTTAAAAAAAATTGTTATAATTTTATTAACTTCTATTATGAAAAATAAAAATTATTACCAAAATATTCTTTATATTAACATCTCCTCATAGATGTAAAAATTATATCACCATGTCTTCGTGTTTTAGAATAAAAGATTTTATATCTTAACTAATTCAAATATATTACACTTTAATAATTTATCTTTTGATTTATATATTTAAAGTTACGTACCGAAATAGAAAATAATATATATATATATAATAAAATTAAATATAAGTATAAGTTATTATTTAATCAACGTAATTAATTAATATTTTCATAAATATTTAAATAAAATAGTGTTTTTATTACATGATATCAATTAATTGTATATATTTAAAGTAATATATAAATATTAAGGTATTATTTAATTTATGTTATTAATATAATATTTTAATAATATCTAAATAAAATAGTGTTTATGATAAAATATTATTTATTATATTTAATTAATGTAAGGTTAAAATATGTATATTAAATATATAAATTTTTAAATAAATATATATATACATCGAATAAAATATAATTATTACAAAATTTAATACTTATATATATA